ATTTCACTACACAGAACAATATCCATTGTTGCCTCCAACCAAATTATAACCCGCATTGGAAGTAAGCCGTCGATGGATTACAATGCTCGTTTAAATTTCAAATCGATGGCAGCCGGCTTTGGGGTGCAATGCCTTTGAAACAGGTTCTCCAAGTGCATTGTGGGTCACTATAAGTACACCGACGGGATCACAAGCGGTCCTATTCAAGACTTTTATAGTCTTTTATGTTAGTTATGGTGCTATTTTTGCTTTTAGTAAGTTAAAAAAATATATATCTATCAATGAAAATTCAAAAGAATGTATAAAAGTTCTAATTTTACTTATTCTTTCATAGCTTGTAGTTATTATTGAATTAAGAACACTTTTGCGTTGTAAGATTGTTCCTTATAATTAATATAGCATTTAGCAGTATTGGATCTGTGTTTAAAGATTTTTGCGTGAAACGAAAATGAAATCTCGTAGTAAGCAATAGGCAACGTATAAATTTCTTATCGCCCATTGAAGTTGACGTAACGATAACAATAATGGCAAAGCCCACCTGGCTCAGCCACAGAGCCAGTCAACTCATAAACAATATAGATTTACCACCGTATATTCAGATAAGAAATGCATTAACTTCACTAGTGTGATTACATTTATTAATAATAATCCACAATGCCGGCCATTTAAAAAAAAATAAACAAAATAAAAATAAATATATGATTAGGCATAGTCAATAAAATAAATTAACTGAGAAATAAACACACACCAATGGTAACTGCCTGATAATAAAATGGCATCCGGTAAATTAACAGAGCCAAAATAACAGTCGATTTGCACTGCCAAAACATACGAAATACATATTGTTGTCTCTTTTACACTCTACGAAAACTGAGATGACAATACCATTTTGTTTAGATATTTCAGTAGTGAAATTCCACGGTAACTTAGGGAAGTATATTTATCGGCCAGATGCTAATTACTGAGACGACATTGTTGCGAGTCGAAGGCTGCAATGAGACATATTCGTGACTTACACTGCATTTATATTACACACCTATAAATGAGTCTTAAATAAATAAAACAAATGGAAAATCCGAGATTCATATTATGTGATTATGTCGTGGTAATAAAAGTTTCTTTCATCGTATTCCAACATTGATAAAACAAAAAAAAATGTAAAATCCCCATTTTTTACAGACCAATATAATTTGTTATTAAAAAGTGACATTGTATTCCCCAATAATAGTCAAACAGCGGATACGCACTATGGGCTTGTAGTCAGACCAATGAAACCAGTAGCACGTTACCATTAGGTTATTGGATCTTACACGATGAACGCAATGGTATTTGTATTATCACTACATAGTTTATAATTAGCTTGATAAAATACAAACGCGTTTATCATCTGACTCTATAACCCGACGTCCTTATCTCCAGTGATAAATCCGTTCAAAAACAGTAAACAGTTTATTGAAGTGCATTTTTGTAGTCAAGAAATATATAGTTAAATAAAAGACATAATAAACATCCTAGACCTACTTTGACATTTTTGAAATGTTTTATTATTGTTTAGAAACAATACTTGGAGATTATTTACTAATAAATTCTTAACACAACCTAATTTACACAGCTTCGCTGTCCGCACGAAGGTCATGTATTTTAATAAGTATTTATGCCGTATACATTATCAATAGAATAACAAATGTCGGAATGTCGTCACGCGTCATCCACACATTCCATAGACAAGCAAGTGATATGTAGAATTTCCCGTAAGCTGTCAGCGTGTGTAAAAACATATCGCCGTCCTTTTCATTCCTTTCTAAATAACAGAGATGACAAATTGTTTGTATACAGATAATTCGACAGTGACAACTCACGGTTAGAACGATAAAATTTTCAACACAATATTCGTGCAGGACTAACGGTAGTCGGAATGAACAAACAGCGGCGCGGGAGAAAGCGGATAGGATCGGGCGAGTGAAAGCCACGCCAGTACAGCTGCCGCGCCGCGTCGTACGGTCGACATAACCTCAAATATGTTCGTGATAACAACAATAACTATAGCAACTTTTGCAGCCGCAACATATTGGATCATGAACCGACACAAGCCTCTCAAGCACCTATTGAGCGACTTCCGATACATGCTGGACATGCAGGGAGCTGGCGCGGGCGGACTTATCGATGACTGGATCAATATAAGGAGAAATAAAATCGAGTTGCCGGATGCGAGCAGAAAAATCGCCGTTATAACCGGCGGAGCGCGCGGCATCGGCACCGAAGTCGTCAGGGGTCTGCTCAAAGCTAATGTCACCGTTATAATGGGCATTCGAAAACCAGACGCGGCTAAAAAGATGATGGAAACAATGGAGAATGGGAAAAATTTACACGTATTCTCACTCGATTTACAATCACAGAAATCGGTTAAGGAATTCGCTAATTGCGTCACAAAGGAGTTCCCAGAGATTAATTATCTAATAAACAATGCTGGGATAATGTATGGAGATTATAAGTTGACCGAGGATGGGATAGAGTCACAGTTTGCTGTGAATCATTTAAACCATTTCTATTTGACACATTTATTGTTGCCAGCATTAAAAAAAGCTGGCAGAGTCGAGGAGCCTTCAAGAGTTGTCAATGTCTCATCTTGTGGTCATTATCCCGGAAAAATATTCTTTGATGATATCAACATGAAAGAACATTATGACACGATAGCTGCTTACGCCCAATCTAAACTTGCCCAGGTATAAAATGTTCCAAATTTATAATTGCCAAAAATATATATAAATGATTCATTCATGTTTTTGTCTTTGTTTCAGATAATGACAGCCAGATATCTCAACAAGTTGCTTGATATTCAAGATGCAAATGTAAAGTTTTACTCCGTACATCCTGGAATTGTTGACACAGATTTGTTTGAAAATACAACCTTCAACAAACTGCCTTGGCTCAAGAAAATTTTCTTCAAAACACCAGAAAAAGGAGCTACTCCGATATTATTTGCTTGTTTTAACAAAAACATTGTAGAGAGAGGCGGACTCTACATTAGCAATTGCATAGAAGGCATAAGCAATAGATATTCTAAAAATATAGATCATCAGAAGAAACTATTTGATATTTCCTGTGAATTAACTGGCATTGACCCTGACAAGTTTGGAAAAAATTAAATAATTGTTTTTGCAATTCTAAGCAGTGACAATCACTTTTGTGACTACATTTTTTAAATTATTTACACATTTTTTCTATTAAATTATATTTACTACAAAATATGTTTTATTTATATTTTTCTCTCAATATCTTTATCTAATCTGTGAAGCTAAGAATAGTATTTAACTACAATTACTAAAAATCTCAAGTGTTGCCATATATTTCATTTATATACTTAAACAAAAATTGCATTCTGAATATTGTATGGTAAAAATTGAAATTTAAAATAAACTTTCAAGATAGTTTTTTAAATTCAAGTTTTGGTTTGTTACTATTAAATATTATCAAATACCATCTCTTAACAACAAATTTAACATAAGAAAATTAAAACCTATAAAAGAAAGTAATAGAACTTATTACTAGAATTTTCTCACTACTTTACCTAGAGATTTACAACTAAATAATTAAGTTAAAAGCACTAACCTGCTAAAAAATCCAGACAATCCTTTCTTCTTCAGCTTACTATTGTCTTGATCTTTGTTCACATCAACTTCATCTTCCTTGGAACCACTGGACCCTAGGGAACATTCAGATAAGCTGGAAACAGTACTTGAGAATGAACCTCCATCTTTCCCACGTTGGTGACCACTCACACTGCCTCCCCACTGCAATGTACTCTTTGGAGAGTCACTGGTATCACTCTTTTCACATGTCGATATTGAAAAGTTCCCTTCATCACTAAAACTACTCTTTTTCGACAATTTATCAACTTCATCACTAGTCTCAGCAGGTTTCTCCACTTTTGGACTTACGAAGTGCAACTGTTTCGTTATAGGATTATATGCTAGTTGGATGTTGTCCAGGGCTTCGCTGAGGCGCATCCCGCCTTTGGTGCATGGCGTCGTCGACATGGTGTACCAAAACTGAACTACGTTCACAAGCTACATCCATGTTGTAAACTCAAAACAAACATCATCAATGATCATAAATTAGCTACTAATTATAAGTACACTATTTGTGTTAATAGCACTGATATACACATCACTTATGAAACAACACTCAATGTAAATATTTGATTTAAATGCTACAATACAAAGGATTGTTTCGAATACTAATATATTTACAATTAATTCTATAAACAAGTCACTAACTGATTAATATAATAAAGCGTCTACCTACTAACACTACTTTTTATTTAATTAAAATTCGTTCTAACTAAAACTCAAAGCAACACACCCACCACCATCTCTTTTCGACTGTAAATAAATTGACATTTGCTTTGATTTGCTTCAATTTCCTTGGAAAAGTTCACAGAAGACGGTTAAATACGGCTAAATAAGGATGACACACAATCTTGAGTCGAAAACAAGGAATGTAGTAAAATTTAATTTTGCGGGATTATTTTACTTTATGCTTCAGCACTGTCACTGTCACGCGGCGTACAGATAATAAAACCCCTTTCACATTTTCATAATGTCGAGCATAACACTGTAATTAAAATTAAATTTTTAATATCACGGGATTTTCATTTAATAATATTAATTAAAAAAAAAGAATTTCTTTTTCTTTCAAGAATTCTAAAAAAGCATTAAAACATTGTAACTCTCTTTGTCTATGGTTGTCGTAAAATTAATTGTTGCCAACTGAAATTAATATTTCCATAAACCGTGAAAAAACTTGATTTTTTAAATTTTATGCAAAATGTATTTATGCCATTTGCCTTAAAATTGGAAGTCCCAAACAAAATAATTTAATGAACTATGACGTACTGGAATGCCTTGAGTAGAAAATTTTACATAAACTTATAGGACATACAATTATCGTATATCCTCTAACTTTGTGTCAACTTAAGGAATAATAAAACAAACGAACTCTGTAATCAAAATAATTTATTTTACGTTGCAATAATAAATATTCGTTTTATGGTCACTTCAGGAATACACAGCCTTTCTTGAAGGCCATTAATACAATATATTAACTAAATTAATAATATAAAAATAGTTTCAATAAACTATTGTTATTTACATTTAATTATATTTACGTACAATATTTTAAGAGGTTAATTACAAAAAATAGAAATTCATTTAAGTTATTTAGTTAATACGCGATATACAAAAGCGTTCAATAAATATCAAATGCTTGAATAAGGAAGTCTTTAACTGTTCGTCACTCCCTTGTCTTGCAGCTCGGGGAACAATTCCAACACGCAGAGGTCCAATAAACTGTACACCAACTGAAATGTAACATTTTTACTAACGCCTTTAATTGGTACTAATTAAAGATTCTGAGTTCATTTAAATGTATTATAAGAAATTTACACTAGGAGAGACTATGACGAATTAAGTGTTGTAAGCATTTTAAATAAATTCGCACAAAACGTTTCTCCAAAAGAAGCGAACAAAAAGTAATAAAAGTAGCAGCACTCTGGTGTTGCCAGTTTATTTACTTTTTGTTGTGTATTTTCCAGATAAAATTCACTACATTTGTAAAGCCAAGACTTGCGAGAAGGTTTTCACTATGAAATTAAACTAACAATCTTGTCTTGCTTTGTCCAAGCATTTTCTACTTCAAGGTACAATTACCGTAAGCAGCGCCATCACGTGACACAAGTTTACATGAAGTATAATGACTTTCAAAATGTTTTACATATAAGAATACCTGTTTATTAAGATGCGGGCTCTGTATAATATCGAATGCGTTGTTGAGCGCGGCGTGCAGGCCGGAGAGCGGCGCGGGCACTCGGCGCAGCAGCTGCGCACGCGCACTCTCCCGCTGCTTCTCCACCTCCGTACGGGGGCTGAGGCTCTTCTTGCCGAATAATAAACCTGAGTTACAATAACGTTTCTTAAATTAATGCTGCTTTAAAAGTACTGCTGGCCGATTGTATTTGGACGTCCAAAGCTGATCGCTTGAATTATTACGATCGGAAACGGCTTCAAGTACCTTAAATATAGGTAGTCGTTTCAATAATTTATACATTATCAGCCTTTATAAATTCACATGTTATCAAATACACAAAACAAAGTGCAACAATCCCCTTAAAAAAGACGTCTATTTAAAACATACAGTTCATAGTCTTTACTTGAAATTGGTTATAAATGCATTGAATTCTATTGTAAAGGCACTCACCATGTCCCAACTGTATAAGATGCGCCAACCTCCTCTCACAAAGTAGGGTAGACAGCGTTCTATTGAGATATGAGTTAAAAGCATCGTCCAGTATCGTCCTCGCCATAGCTAACAAACTGCCCAGTATACCGCACAGGAACATCGGCGCTTTCACAACCTTTACTACTGAAAACATACATTTCATTATGACTTTCCACTGTTGAAAACATCGTATAAAAACATCCCTCATTGCTTTTGGAATTTTCCAAACAACTATTATTACATAAAATAATATAGGAACTGACATAAATACATGAAGCAGTGCGTGAACCCCACCACCGCAGTCTGGTGTGTGCTGTGCCGGGGGGCGGGCGCGGGGGGCGGCTCCGCGAAGTTGTCTCCGAACACCTGCCCGCGCGCCCCCCTACCACCCCCTGCCGCACCCCCCGCCGAGTTTGCCCACGCCCGCAGCGACGACCCCTCGTCCGCTTCTAGTGCTTCTTCTACATCACGAACCCCCTGCTTGCTGCACATAGGATATATTCCTTGTCTTTAAACCTGGATTTCTATTGCCAAAAACCACGTTATTTCAGTTTTTTGTCGTTATAATACTTAAATATAAAATATTTTGCATAATATCTTACTACTATTATAAATGCGAATGTTTAGATGTATGGATGGATATTTGTTTGAGGGTTTCTCCAGAACGGCTGAGTGGATCTCGCTAAAATGTTGGCGTAGATGTAGAACATAGTCTGGAAGAACACATAGGCTACAACTTTTTAATTCCTCCCGAAAGAAATTACTGGCGATTGCTAGTGATGTCATAAAAGTTCCTTGACACACTTCGTCAACATCCCTACGCCTTAACGTGTGAAACAATTTATGGATGGCCTCTAACAAACTAACACATTAATAAAAAAAAACTCATAAAAATATCAAATAAACTCACAGAGCCTGATACCGTTCCTTGTCCGATGACACCAGGAAGTTTCTTAGAAAGCTTTCCAAATGTTGTCCTTTTTCCTTCCTTAATTTATGCGCCACTGAGTGGTAGATGTTGCCCAGGTCTGTACTGTTAGCGTTCAGGGTTGACGCCTGCACCACCAGGGAGAAGTCACCATCCACTGTCAGGAACAGGTACAGTAACTCGCTGGTCTGGAGTAACGGCTTCTGTAGCAACCTTTGGAGAAAGTCTTCGTATTTGTATCGCAGTGTCTCTAATGGACTGTTGTCTCTGTAAAAAAAAATCATACATATAAATGCGAAAGTTTGGATGTATGGATGTTTGTTAGAACGTTTCTCCGGAACAGTTAAACGGGTCTCTATAAAATTTTGCACAGATGTAGAACATAGTCTGAAGAACACGTAGGTTACTAATTTTGTTTTTTTTTTATTCTCGCGGACAGAGTCGAGAGCGACATCTAGTTATTAAATAAACACTAACCGTCGCGAAGGCAAGGCGAGATCGTGCAGTGCGTCGCCATGGAACTCTTGCAGCTTGGCGCGCAGCAGGTGGAAGTCGTGCTCCGTGCGCCGCGCCCCCCACAGCGCCGCGCCCCCCGCACCCACCGCGCCCCCTGCACCCGCCGCGCCCACCGCACCCCCCGCCCGGTGCACCGCCAGCGTGAACACACGCACCGTGCCGCGCCGGGGCGGGGCTTGCTGTCACACATTGCTTACATCAATATTATTGAAATATAAGTGAACATAGGTAACTAAGTATAGTCCTTTTCAAATATCTTGGCGGTTGACCTTGAGATGATGAGTACTCTACCCCTACACATTTGAACTTGTGTTCTATGCTACTACTACGTGGTTCCGAGCCGACAAGATACGTGATAAATACTAAAACTAAAGTAACTAAGAGTTTTTCAATGCGTAACAATTATATAAAATGTGTCTTCTTTTAATAAGAAATTTCATCATCTAAATGATGAAACTTGAAACTTTATCTTTATTGATAAAACAAAAAAATATTTAGTTTTATACTCGAGTAAATACAGCAATAATTAAACTAAACAATGAACCAATTAGAATTTTGTTTGATTTTTATAAAGAAAACTTATTTTTCGTTATTTTCTTTATTAATCCTTCATTAGTTTTTTACCTTTTGTGACACAAACAATATTGTTTAAAAACTCACAAGTTGCGTCTCCACATTGGTGAGAACAACTTTAAAGTTGGCCAGATCCTGTTCCATGCTGTCTTCAGCCGCGATAGAGTCCAGGTACTTGAGGATGTCCAGGTTCTCCATGCCCTCGTCCTCCAGCTCGGAGTTGCAACAGTCCAATACTTGGCCATCTATCGCCTGTGACCTTAGCGCGCCTTTCAAACGACTGCCCAACTTCATAGCGGCGTTGAATAGTTTATCTTGTTGTCTATGGATAAAAAAAAATTACAAAATTATTAAGTGCATTCGATATTCCGGGGGAAAAAAACAAAAATACCAATATGCAAAATGGATCAATGTATAGCAGTCTGTCCCAAAGTGTGCGATAACGCCCCCTTGTGGGCGCTGCAGGGGTCAAGTTGCGGGTTATAGTAAAAGTTTCCTTTACAATTCTCCGTTGATATACATATATAGGTCACAATAATTTGAAGTTATAGTGGTTTTTAAATATGTGAAAATATGGGGGCGATAAAAAATATTTATTCTCAAAGTGAGCAGTAGACAAAGTAAGTTTGGGAACCACTGATGTATAGTGACCACAAATCAAATATAAATAAAGACAGGACAAGGTCAGAAAATGCAATAGACAAAAAAAACAGTAAGTTTACCTTTTAGCCATTTGTTTTTGATATCCCGTAGGAACTCGGGAACCAATCAACAGTTTGTAAAACTGAAACATAATTAATAATTATTAAATTGAAAAATAATATGCAGACCGGAGGCACAATTTTAGTCTTCCTTCCCATCCTTTTCTTATAAAGGATGGAAATGGGATGGTGATTTGATGGGGACTAAGGGCAAATATCTTCTCTCTGTGCGTCCCACTCTCCATTGAATAACGGCAACGCATCTGAAATTCCGGTTGTCTATTGGCAGCGGTCGCTTCTTTATTTCGGCGAATTAAGATGGCCACACGCTCGTTCGTACCTCATGTTATAATTTAGATTCAAGATGACACCTTGAATAATGTAAGTTTAGTTGTAATAATTGACTGACCTCTTCACTGTGCAGGTAGCGGGGAAGCAAGACCTTTTCTAATGCAGCGTGAGACTGTCGCGCCGCCTGGTACAGTGCGCGACTTGTCTGTAGCCTGCAGATATATACAAAACTAGCGGACCCGACAGACGTTGTCCTGTCTACACGTCTTTAATTCGAATATTATTTAAAATTTGACACTGCGATGGTAGCGCCGACTGTCGGATCCAATGTAAAACATTCCAAAATCAACAACTACTAATAAATTAAAAATTAATCAAAAAAACATTGTCCAGCTGACAAAATTGTAAATCTAAACCATTCCCAGATCCCCTTGAATACACACAAAAAATTTCATCAAAATCGGTCCAGTCGTTTGAGAGAAGTTCAGTGACATACACACTCACAGAAGAATTATATATATAAAGATGTATATCATTCACATTATTACCTATATAACTATGTTATACAAATTAAATATATAAATCTAAAAAATATTAAATTAAACATTTCTTCTCATTAACTTGAAAAAGTCATCAAACTTCTGTTTTTTTACTTTTAATGATATATATGTCTAGAGGTAGAAAACTGTTGCGACTACCCTACTATAAAGAAGAAAACTGGTGAGACGACTCCACTATGAGGCAGAAAACTGGTGTGGTTACCCCATTATGTAGAGTTAGATCAGTTTTCTTCCACTATAAGTGACAGAGATATTATACTAAATGAGAGAAGGCAATATCTATGTGTCTCACTTGTGGACATCAGCAGAGTCAAGGTCATGTCGCAGGTCTCGCAGCATGTGTTGCGGCAGTCGCAGGCGGGCGCACTGTGCCGCCAGCGCACGCGCAGACCCCGCCAGCGCCTCACGCTCTACACTACTCAGCTCCGGGTTCAGCAGTGTGGTTTGGAATAGTTCTGCACAATAAATGCCAAAATCAGTTGACACACTTAACGACATCAGATTTACTTATTTTATTTATTTAGCCAAAGAAATATAACTTTACAAGATGTCCCTCGACTTCACCTGACCACATTAAAAAAACTTAACTAGTAGCCTATATCATCTAGAATATTATCAAGCGAAACCCAAGCGCTTTAAAAGTTATGCCTTACTAATGTCCTTGTAGAACTGTAGCAGCTGCAGGTGTCCGGAGGACTTGAGGTGTTGCATGAACGCGTACAGCTGCTCCTGTTGCGATAACACCGTCTCTACATCCAATTGCAGCAGTTTACAGCGTGCACTGTAAACACACTCAGTCTGCCGGGTGAATGTCTCGAGGAATTCCACCTGGAAAAGGTTAAAAATCAATATTATACAAATTACTCGAATATTAAAGTCTAATGTCATAGTATTACTTACTTTATAGTTAGGCGTGGTTGGTAATTCTGACATTTTCTCATCACTAGTTGCCAATATGATAAGTGCATTCAATATGTATGGGTCAGCTAATACATCTGTTAGAGATAACAACACCCAGCCTGCGAATACTTCACGAACCAGCACTCGGAACACACTGAAAATATAATTACAATCAAAATATTTATGTTTGAGAAAAGTAATTTAAATGAAAGTAAAAGAAGGGAAAATATCCTACTTTATAAAGAACAGTAAAGGGCCTATCTTTAATAGATAGGAGAGGATCAGGAAAAGCAACGGGTATTATATACCTTATTCATATACCTGCAAAAAAATATTATTCTCGGGCAAATCGAGTTGTTACTTTATATGAAACACAAATCTACAATATAACATACTTACGAGCTATTCGTCTCATTGGGCTGCAGTACCAATGGAAGCAAGACTTCAGTCAAGGATCGTAAGTACTTCATCTCAGCGGCGCGGTTGCATGCTGCCACATGGAGTGCGGGTTTCGCCCCACTGGATACCACCGCATAGTGACGTAGTGCGCATGGCACTAATCGCTCCGTAATAAGACGCCCATAGTCTATCTGAGAATGATATTAACATTATTCTAGACCACGGATGACAAATCATTTCTTATGCACATGTCACTTTTCCAAAGAAATTTATAATGAGGTCATAGACATGCCATCAAATATTTTTAACTTGGTGCTTATTGGGCACATTCTTTTTTTTATAAGAGAAAGGGACTAACGAGGAGCGGAAACACCAAGGTGATCCACAACACCCATGGATATATGCAACACCAGAAAAACTGCAGATGTGTTGCCAGCATTTAAGGAAATGGTATGCTTGCGTCTTGACGCACTCTAAATCGCATTGGTTTAGAAATACAGCAGAGGACAGACTGTTCCACAATGTGGCTGAGCAAGGTAAGAAATTATACAAGAATCTATAGGGTATTAATTGCCGTATTTACCTTCAGAGCTCTTTTCAACAAACTAGCAGACGCATATCTCAGTTGTAGTCTCAACTCATCAATAAAAAATGGCTGTAGAGTTATCTTACTGTACCATGTGTTTATAAATTGGTCTAATATAGCATTGTAGAACTGAAATACAAAAATAAGATAGTATTAGTAATTGATTTTATTTGTAAAATTATGTATGACTTTATAATACAGTGTCTCTTTATAAAATATGTTAAATTATAATAAACTAGCTGTTGGCAGCAACTCTGTTCATGCAGTATTAATAAAAAGCTTAATTAGTAAGCTATGTGTTCTTCCAGATTATGTTCTACACCTATTTCAACTAAATCCATGCAGCTATTTTTAAGATGCCTTCAAACATACATCCATCTATCCTTCTAAGCATTTGCATTTATTAGTTATGAGTAAGATAAGATTATAATGTGTTCTGTAGAATGTTATTAAATCACAAATATAAATAGGAATAGTTCATCACAATAATAGTGTTGTTTTCCTATATTTCTACTAATATAGTATGTATCAAAAATTTTATATAGAAAGCAGTATCAACTTTAGATAGTAAAGAATATCAAGGTCACAAATAATACCATTTTCTTTTCATATTAAAAAGTAAAACATGTTTATTCTTACATCTTCAATGGCTTGGTCCAATTGTTTATGAATAAGTAGCCCACTCCATGGCTCTGGAGCTACGTCTGGATTATGGCGGGAACAATCTTTGGATCCACATGTCTCACAACCCTGCAAATAGGAAATAATTTAACTAAGTATCTCTTTATAATCGTAGTAACTACGAAGCTATGGTGAGTAGTGTTTTGGTGTACCAGTCGACCAGTTTGCGTTAAAAGAGTTTGCAAAAGTTGTTTGACAACTTACTTCGTCTGAAGAAACTTTGTCTTCTTTTTCTACCGGCTTACTGACAAAATGGCACGTCAATTGATTCACATAACTGTAGAGAATGTTTGAACTTAATGCATAATAACAAACCAAACATCCCAGGACATAACTTACTAAAATTGTGATTAAGTGAAATCTAAAACAAAACAAAGTGGGTTACTGATATTACGTTTATTTTGATACATACAAAATATGTCAACTTCTTTTGAAAGCTAAACCTGTAAAAATATAGCACACCCAGAAGAACACCAAAAATACTAATAATAAATATAAAATAATTTGGTTTATGAATTTTTTTCGTAAACTTCGTTTGACATCCTTCAGTCATGGTTGAACTATGAAATAAATGACACTGACATTTACGTTTTCATAAGGTTTTATATTGGTTTTATTTTTTATACGACTTTTCGCATCACGAACAAAAAAAAATTAAAGAATTTGAATTGATATTTTTAGAACATAGGAAAAGAAATAGAAAGAGTTGTAGCATTCTCTTTGTATTATTAACGAATATGCACATCCACAATATTTTGGAACTACCCACACGAGAAATTAAAAAGAAACAATCACTTTTTTGTGGTGTATATGTATAATATTATATCACTTACCCAAAAGCATCTTTACATATCATATCAATATAATCATTTTCATACAGGTTTGTTATTTTATCGTCGCAATATATCTTGGTTACTTTAAGTTAACTTACTTTGGTTTCTAAACTTAACTAGCAACCGAGGTATTTTGGCGCAATTGTGAACCTTATGTCAATTTGACCTGTCTTGTCAGTTAACCCAAAACTTTGATTGTAAAATTGACTAATTATTTATTAGATAAAAACAATATAAAGATACAGAAGATAAGCAGTATTATTATTAAATTTGGCACTTATTTTGAATGCTTGCACCAGTAAGTATTCATTATACATACTCATGTACAAAAACGATATACAGAAATACGTACGTTTGCGAGATTCTTGTGTGTTATTATGAAGCTGGAAGGATGAAATCTTAACTGACCTCGTATTTAAGTTCAGAGTTCATATTATCTATATGCGGCCAATGACGGCCTCTTATCTCGTAGTTAATAGCTACGATTTGTCTTTACTGCACATTGTAATTAATCGCTTTAACGAGTGTAAAAGTGTATATTGTTATCAAGGTGAAGATTTTTACTGGTTTTAAATAAAAACTTGCGATAAAAACTCTTAGATAACTCTGTCTATATGTTGAATAGAGAGTAAGTTATAATAATCAAGTTTTTTTATATTTTAGTTACAATGGTATTGCAAAGATATTTACTTAGCGCAACAAGACAGTGCATATCAAGGAGAAGAATACTAGGATCACTCAGACAAACATTTTGCGAGCTTCGCTACTCATATTCATCAGACTCAACAAGGAAATACACAGATAGACATGAATGGGTGGTTGTTGAAAAGGATATTGGTACAGTGGGCATAAGTAATTATGCTCAAGAATCGCTTGGAGATATTGTGTTTGCACAACTACCAGACCTGGGCAGTGAAATAAAGGCAGGTGATGAATGTGGGGCATTGGAAAGTGTTAAAGCAGCTAGTGAAATATATTCACCAGTCTCCGGTACAATTACAGAGAAGAACAGTGAAGTTGAAAACAAACCAGGTTTGATCAACACATCATGTTTCGAAAAAGGATGGCTCTTCAAATTGAAATTATCAAATCCTGATGAATTAAATGAGTTGATGAACGAAGAACAATATGAGAAGTTCCTTAAAAGTGATGTGGATAAAGACCACTAATATGTTAAGTTGTTGATTTTTTGTTATAATTTTTAGTTGTTCTAAAATGATTTAATATAATTTAGCAATCTCAATGGTTTTTTCTTCTAACCTAAAAATAGTGTATGTGTTAGGTAATCCATACAACTTTTATCACAATATTTCCAGTGTTCTGTATTCTCAGTGGACCTTTTTTTCCTATATATTTTTAAGTTTTTAATTGCAATTGCTAATAAACATTTGTACAGTATATAGTTTACGGAATATTCCATTGCCATGCTTATGTAAAGTATTTTATTTTAATCACCATACTGATAAATATCTTACTAATATTAACAGTTGAAACAAATTGATTTTTATGAAATTTGGCATAGTTACTGAACATAGTGGAACATGTAGGTTACTAATAAGGTTTTTCTTTTAATCTACACAGACGAAGTCTCTGGCAACGGCTAGTTATAAATATGTAATACTTATGGAAACTTATATAAACCTATCTTGTCGTGATTAGTGGAAGAAATATTGGATAGGTCAGATATCAGTAAAAAAAAACATTGTAATTTTGTAAAGTGCTATTATTATTTATTGCTTTGGTGAACAATAATCAGTGATTAATTATAATATGGCATCATACATGACATAAATAAAATTTGTACCAAAATTCTACATTTTAAATCAATGATAAAAACTTTTACAAAAGAAATGACAAAGTATCAACTTACTATATTATGGAAAATGTTCCTTTACCTTAAAAAATAAAGAAACATCTAAAGAAACAAATAATATATGAAAAAAAGAGTTTTTTTTTATATTACTATAGCACAATAAAATATTTGAAAAATTATTTAAATAAGGATATCAACCAAATATAAAAAATTACAAAATCATCATCAAAATAAAAACATAAAAAACCTATAATATCAAAAGGAACATAAAAATCACAATATTTTGTATTTAATTTTGACATGCAAACTATCGATTGAAATTAAATTCACCGCTTTTCTAAATTACATAAAAAAATAATCAAATTAAAAAATCAAGCATACAATAATTTCCAAATAATTGGTTATTTATGGTGTTTATTTGATTTTTTTTTAAATAAATTTCAACAGCCATTCATGAGATCATAACGATTTCAAAATTCGGTTTTGTGTTACCTTCCTACTTCCTATTTCCTTGTGAAAGGGGTGAATTGGTTACCTTATGGTATGGTACAAATTACAGTTAAATTGATTTATACTCAACTTTATGCTTGCTTTACATTAGGTCAGTACAATCCTGACATGGATTATTTTGGCTGACTGGCGCCAGTTAATGTTCACATTATGCCAGTTATATTCCAGCTATCACTGTACTGGCATGGTGTAAACTAGCCATTAACGCATAACACTTAAAACGTATAATTAAAATTAAACATAAACACAGCAAAAATACATTATGTATACAAAAACATTGAATGATATTTGGGGCGATATTATTATAAACATTATATAGAACAAATACTTTTATAAATCTACTTTTATAACATCAAAACATTCAAACACATGTTTTAAATCAATGTATCTGCTGTGTAAACTCTTATTCGACATCTACACAAAATCCTACCCCTAAATACTATTAAAAACAGCTACATGGTTTAGTAATAAAGATTTTTTTTTGTATATTTCCTATTTATATTTAAATTGTAACACATAACTAATACGATTGAAAAATAAAAAGATTATTACTTAAAATAAAATGTATTTGTAAATCTTTTTTATTTTTAAATATTAAAAAATGTAATTTCAAAATATTACTTCACATATCGTATAAATTTAATTGACTATAATATTAATTTAGAATTAGTTCATCAATTATGATATAAAACGTGCAATTCCTTTATAAATCGATTTTAATTAAATAAAACCTTTAAATATATGACAAAAATATTTTTCAAAATAAGACAAACCCAATAATAAAATTGAATTACATTTTCGATATAATTTTATTGGCAGTGTCCATAGGATGTGTTTTCTCGAAGAAATTTCTAGATTGTTCAATACTTTTTTTTAATATGTGATTTTTTTTGGAAGCACTTAATATATGTTATATTCAGCAAAATATGAGAATCTGTTAACAATTTTTTCGTTAATGTGCTTAGAATCTATAATAAAATATGTAATTTAAAATCTTAGAAAGTTACAATATATCATATTATAAATAATTTTAGTGATAATTGCAAAGAAAAATGGAACATTTTATATAAAATTTCATCGGGCTCGGTGGCTTAGGGGTTAAGCACTTGACTTGTAATCTGCAGGTCCTAGGTTCGAATAACGCTATGTAGTAATATGATTTTTGATATTTCACATTTATCTATTCTTACGGTTAGGAAAAACATCGTCAACCTGCACATATCTGAGAAAAAATTCAAAGATATGTGTGAAGTCAACCCACACTGAGCCAGGTAAGTTGATTATGGCCAAGTCACCCATAACTTAGGGTAGGCTCCGAGTCTCTCTGTGGGAACATACTGAGCTGATGATGATATATAATTTTTGAATATACTGATAAAGCCCTAATTAATATATTTTAGTTTTTATTTTTCAGTTTATCTTGCAACGTCCATTGGATGTGTATAGGTTCGTTTAGACGTAAATTAATATTGAATATAACAAATATTTGAGAGTTACTTGAATAAGAGAAATCGCAGACGGGTTTCTTGCAGGGTTTTTGGTTGACTGTGACATTCTTGATTGGCACCTTTTGTCCGAAGATGGTTATTTTGTTGACTGTTGGCATACCGTATGCCCACCATTGTAGTTCACTTCGGAACTCTTGTTTGTCCAGAATGAAATGTACTAAGCTATATTTACTTTCATCATACGTCTCTGTAAAATGAAAAATTTGATTAATATTGAACTTTTAAAAATTATAGACGACGGAGAAACATTGAAGCGGAGAAAAAGTGAACTATTCCTTTTTTAATTTTCATTATTTGAAAATTTTTAATTATTTTCAGTAAAATATGATTAATGTCGTTATGATAAAGTATCTAGTACACAGGGAACTTTGTCTTTTTTATATATGTGGTAAATTTAGCGCTACTATCACTCTTAATGTTGACATCTTTAGTGAGCAAAAGACAGTATTCCTCACTAATCAATGTTGATGAGATTAACTTGCATAAAACTTAATAACGAAATCTACACTAAGGATGTGCTTTAGTGAGCAATAAGCAGTAAAAGTACTGACGCAGTCCCAGTCCGTCGTCCCAGTAGAGCATGGCGCGGGCCTGTGCTGCGGCGTCGGGCGCGGCCACCAGGTGCAGCGGGCGCGTGCGACACTCGCGTGTTGACACCACGCCCTCGGGCGGCTCTTGTAGGGGCAGGATGCCACCACCCTGATATCACACATTTTAGTATCATTGCAATATTAATACTTATTCAAAATTAAATTAAAAATTATTTAGTTTTTGATTGTTGAATTTGAACAATTTAATTCGCTAAATAGTAATACATTGGGATAATTTTAACAGAACTAACTCTGTCAAATTCGCATGGTCTTATTTATATATTATTTGAAATTATCAACAAAGGACAAAATTATATATTTACTAATATTATAAATGCGAATATTTGAATGCTATCCATGTTTCAAGAAGGTATCTCCAGAATGTGTGCATGGATCTCTATGAAATTTGGCACAAATATAGAATATAGTTTGGAAGAACACATAGGCTACTAATTAAGGTTTTTTCTTTCCATGCTGGCGGCATCAAGTATAACAAATAATTTACAAATAATTAATCTTATATTAATTATATATTTCTATGTATCATACCTTGACAGCAAGCATCTGTTGTTCAGTGACATTCCTCCAGCCGGATGTGATCAGTGTACCATCAAGGCTGTACCAGATGCCGGCGGGGAAGTACGCACGCGCAGAGTTCGTACCGGCATATAGTATTGGTGATATCAGTAGGTACGGACCGATCAGGAGCTGAGTGTCTATCTCATGTGTGGTGGTATCACTTGGATCACTGCGGGAGATCAAATATTTCTATTATCAATTAAATCCTACTAATATTATAAATGTGAATTTTTAGATGGATGGATGTTTGAAGCTATTTTCAGAATTATTGAACCGATCTTGATGAAATTTGGCTTATATATAGAACATGGTCTGAAAAAACACATATGTTACTTATGTTTTTTTTCCGTGCGGATGGAGCCACGAGTAACTGCTAGTAATATATAAAAATGCATGATGCTATTTGATTTTACAATTTTGTTTTACTATGACATTCCACCGTAGTTTGTATAGCATCTTAACTCGTCTTTTTTTTTTAAAGAAATAACATCTAATACAATATAACACAAATAATTTGACAGAGGGAACCAACATAGCCCCTTTAAGAATTGCCAACAAATATTTATAAAAACCAAGACACGAAAGCTTATACTCAGCTAAAAGAACGATCCAACTGTTTATGGTTTCCAATATTTACATAAAATATATAAAAAGTTATATACATGGGTGTAACTCATTTAACATCTATTTTGAATTAATTCTTACAATGATTTATGATAGAAAAATTTAAATGAAATGGTCAAATACTAACTCAAAGTACAGCGGCCTTGCAACTAATTCCCCGTGTAGATGTGCGCGCCAGAACAACGTGTAGTAATACGGCAGCAGAGAGTAGCGCGTGCGCAGCGCTGTACGAGACGCGGACACCACCTCCGCACCTAAACTCACCGGATCTTGTGGCTGAAAAATATATTTTAATTGTAAATTAGTGCTTGTTGACCAGTAGACCGTCTCATGGATAAAGGTCTTCTGGAGCTACAGGTCCGGGACTGGGTTGGAACAGCGTAGGATCAAGGAAAGTTGGAAAGGCTGAGGTCCACTTCGGGTGGATGCGTCACTGTAGTTTGCTATATTATTGTAAGAAATTAATACAATAAACAAACTACGTATATTTTGAACAGTCAAGGACATTAATTTCCTACCCATCTGTGAAGTAATTTTTCGATGACAATGCAATTATATTGAAATCTTGCTACAGCATAAAAAAATGCTAAATATATATCTCTTACTGTGAGTTTCAATAGTTGTGACGTAATAATACATATTTTTGTCTCTATTTTATCAAATATAATGAAAGGGATATATGTATTACATGTGTCACTGTCACATCCGAAGTGGGTAGCGAATTTAATTCTTTGACTGTATTAACATGTTACAATATATTCACCATAGAAGAATCAGAGTTATGATTTCTAGAGAACGGATAGAAAGCACCAAGCTGCATCCATCTCTTGCATAACTCCACCGTAGTATTGCCGCGGAAGCCGCAAATATCCGCACCCATCATAGGTATACCAAACAGACTGAAGCTTAGCAACTCTGTAACATAACAAATACTTAAGTTGGGGAGTAATACTGAAAACTGTAAGTAGGTGGCGCTGGCGATGAGCGGGGTGTCATAGTTTTATACTTCATTCTAATGATAACAAATTATTCCTTTTTTCAACTATTTTATTTATTATTTCAGTAAAATTTGACAATGTCTTTGCTATGATTACAGTCCACAGATTATTTTGTAGTTTACATAAAAATTAAATTGTTTTTTGTACATCTGTGGTATATTTAGTGATACTAAAATCTTCATCACGCTGACATCTAGTGAGCAAAAGGAGTTTTTCTTCCCATTGCTATTTACATACCAAAAGAAACCAACATATACGTAAACATGTTTGTGAAGTTAAATAACCAATGCTTATACTCCATAATTCTCTATACTAACCTTCAAGATTTATAAAGTTACCTTTTTCATGAACTAGATGGCGCTGAGATCATTTTCATTCATACTATTATTATTTTTGTCATCGGTCTCATCATCATCGTCAGCATACGTCCCCACCGAGGGTCTCGGCGCCTACCCTAAGTTAAGGGTGATTAGGCCATAGTCAACCACGCTGGCCAAGTGCGGGTTGGTTGACTTCACACATATTTAAAGGTCTAATATTAGTAAATCATTATAATGTACCTGGTATACTCATCCTAAAGTCATGCCAGCTGCTGTCAACATCTCCACTCCAGTGTCCCGCATACCGCCCCAGTCCGGGGAAAGATGCCCGCGATATTATAAACGGACGACTGCCTCGGATCTCGACTAACGCACTGAAAAATGTTAGTTGAACTCGTGTGAACATTATATTTAAAAGATAAATCCTATATACCAGGATGATAGAAAAACAACGCCATATTGCGAAATACGCATATTAATAATGTATTATATGTACTAAGAGTAATGACATTAAAAACAAAAATTGGTTCCCATGATACTAAGAAATTTAAAATAACGTTATTGTTGGTTTCAGAAACCAAAATCCTTGAATAGAACAAAGTGATATCTTTTATACAGAAATTTTCGTATCAGAAACCCACGGTAACCAAATTCATCATATATTTAGATTATCAAAGTGAGAGTTTTGTTGTAATATTAATGGATATACATACAAATGTGTGGAGATAGCTTCAGTGAGTCCGTAGAGATTGTGCCACTGGTAATGTTTGCCGGCGTAATGATGGGCGTCCATACAGAGGGTCTTGTGTTTTAAACCGTTGGTGAGGTAGTACGGAGTGTAAGGTAAATCTTCAGGCTCGCATTCACCAAATAGAGAACCGGATACAAAGTTTGATGGCTCGTTCATATCCTGTGTTAGAAAGGTCATTTATATTACAAATGCATATTTAGATGGATACTAAACAGCTAAACGGATCTTGGTGATAATTGTCATACATGTAATACAGTCTGGATGAATATATAGGCTCAAAATTAAGCTTTTTTAAATTCCCGGACGGTGTCGAGGGTGACTTAGAATTAAATGTCTACTTCTTACTAATATTATAAATACTAATGTTTGGATGGATGGATGAATGTATGTTTGTTTGAAGGTATCACCAGAATGGGTGAACAGATCTCAATGAAATAGCATACATATAAAACATAACCTGGAAGAACAAATAGGCTATTCATTATTTTTTTTCCTTCCCACCCTTGTTCTTATAAGGAAAGGATGGGAAGTGTAAGTGGACTTTCCGGATGAGAGGATGCATGGAAAGGGAAAATATTTTATTTCTGTGCATCCTCTCCTCCGTCGATTAAAGGTAGCCGCCAACTCGTTTGCCACCTTATGATATAAAAATAATAACAATACCACACTGACGGAGTCGCGGGTGACAGCTAGTTTATCGTAAATAAAGTATGTTATCACTTATTGAAAATTCAAAAATGTATGGAAGTGAAACTTTCTATATATTTTGTAGATATACTTACGATCCAAGCGCCATCGTACTGTATTTTCTTGTGAAAGTTTGACATCATTTGAGTCCAGTACATGGTGGCATTGGGGTGAGTAAAGTCAGGCCATACTGTTGACACTTTGTTCCATACCTAACAACAAAAATATATATAAAAACAATCACACGACCAAACACTTGTTTACCCCTTTAAACCCGTTTTCCACTAGCGGAACTAGCGAGCAGACCCTCTTGTTACAATGTATAATTTCAAATAACTAATCGCGCAGTGGAAAATTTGTCTTTTATTCTATACTATAAACTAGCAAAATTTAATTTTGGTACTAAATATATTTCACCTTTCCAACAAAAGGTTGTCCTGTAGAGTTCTTAATAAAAATGTTCATTTCTAGGCCTTTATCAAAAGGCGGGTAAGTCCCCGGGTTCTCTGCAGCGCTCACGCCGGGATCTAATAAATATATATGTCATTAATATAATACAATCCAACCTGGATAGTCGAGACACCTTCATAAGCGAGAAACGCTAATTACATATTCTAAAAACCTCTAAAAGCGAGAAAATCTTTGAACTCTCGATTATCCAGGTTTGACTGTACATGAGTATAAATTTGTTTCCACTGAAGTGACTTGTATGGAGTCATATTGATACAGTTATATCGACTTCTAGTCAAACAAAGATGTCTAGTCTAGATATGGTTCTGTCAGAAAATATGTAAAATTAACATGGACATAGAAAATGACTGTTACTCTGTTTTCATGTTAATTATCTGATACAGACAGGAGGGCGCTAGTGAGATATCATTATTTAGTTTGAATTATGTCCACCAAGTCAGATAAAATTCGTCCAAAAGTCCAAAATAACAATTTTAATTAATCTAAATTAAAATATCTTACTAATATTATGAATGAGAATGTTCAGTTGTTTGTTACAAAGTATCTCCAGAAAGGTTGTATGGGTCTCGCTGAAATTTAACATAGATGTAGGCCATAGTCTGTAAGAACACTTAGCCAACCTATTAAGTTTTTTTTTAATTCCACGCAGATGTAATCGCGTGCAACAGCTAGTTTATATTATAAACTTACCAATCAACACCATATAATGCATCCCAGCGTCATGCAACTCCTTCACAAACTCCGGCAGACCTTTGAACTTGACATCATCATATGTAAAGTCGTTTCCGTTCTTCATATAATCCAAGTCATTCCACTGCACGTCCTGTCGAATTCAAATTTATTGACACATATTTTATCCGTCTATTATGAGTTTTTGCTTTAAAAAAATACAGTCCAACTAATAAGCGAGAGTTCAAGACGCTGCGATATTTTTCTCGCTTATAGAGGTTTCTCTTTTAACAGAGTTTCTCGCTTAACGAGGTCATCCGTTGTCACTGGACAATGATTCTCGCTTATCATGGGTCGACTGGATATCAAACTAATAAACTCTAAAACATAGGCTTTATCTATTACTAGATTTTTTTATTGATACCGAATTAAAAATATAAAAATGACACTCACCAATGGGATTCCAGCATCTCTATTACTCTTCCAAACATCTCTGGTAACTTGCAGACTGCCGTAGTTATATCTAGAAAGATAAATACATTCTTAAATAGATAAGTATACACTAAGGGTGTTCCTTAACGCTCAATTAACAACTCAAAAGTATGTAAAGTAATTATCGGTACAGTAGTTTTTTAGTTACATACAAAATCTCTCTTTTTTATAATATTAGGTATAATATTTTGCAGCTACACTTTTAAATAATATATTCTACTCATTTAGTTCTTTTTTAAATTAAATGTATATAGATAATAGCATAAATTACCAAACGATACAGATAATATATGAATGTAGATGTGACCTACTGGTCTCTGTCTACTCCTCTATGTTAGGGTCGTGAGTTATATTACTAACTTGCAGAGATGGAAGCCCAGCGCCCAGTATGGCGGCATGAACGGCTTCCCGATGATCTCAGTGAGCTGAGACACCACGTCACTGGGTGATGGACCCAGGAACATGTAGAAATTGAATAAACCACCAATTGTACGGTACGTTATAGCTGGAGTTGGCTGCAACACCACATCTGAGAATACAATGTATGGATGTTATTGTGGATATGCGATTAAATTTACCAAAGTTACAGACTAGCCGTCGCATGTAACTCCGTCTTTGCGGAATTAAAAACTTAATAAATAGTCACTGTGTTCTTTTAGACTATGTTCTACATCTGTGTCAAATTTCATCAAGATCTATTGAGCCGTTCCAGAGATACCTTTAAACAAACATCCATCCAAACATTCGCATTTATCCTACTAATATTATAAATGAAAATATTTAGATGGATGGATATTTTTTAGAAGGTATCTCCGGAACGGCTGCATAGATCTCGCTGAAAATTGGCACAGATGAAATACATAGTTTGGAAGAACACATGAACTATAATGTTTTTTCCACGCGGACGGAGTCACGGGCGACAACTAGTAATATATTAATAAGATATATAAACAGACCTATAGCATGTGAATTTAACAATAGCGTGCCATGTGCCTTGCCGTCTGGTTCCAACGCCAAGTAGAAAGGCTGTGTTCCGTATAAGTTCGTCTGAAAAATAAATCAAAATTGCAAACTTACTAAAATTTGTTAGATACTGTATTAATCTACATTTTTATCTGATAAAGTGTGGTAGAAATCTACACTACTAGTGTTCCTTATCGTCGGTTTCTGAGACCGAAACAAATCGTCATATCTATCATGATCTTTAACAACAAAGATGACAATGTTTTTCGGTCTCAGAAACCATCAATTAGTGAAACTCCCATTATGGTACTTAATAACTGTGGTAAAACCGTTATCTGTCTACCCCTCTAGGTGATAGGCGTGAGTTACATTACAACTTACATTTTCAACCGGAGCCTGATCAGAGTTAAACATAGTGAATGTTTTCCACTCGTTCAATTCAGTTCTGAACCTGGCCCGTCTCTCTCCCAGACCGTATATCTGATTGGTTGGCAGTAGGGAAGAAACCTGCAGGAACTTATCCGATAATATCAATCCACCTACACTTTGAGTATTAAATCTGAAAATGAAGAAAAAAAGTGAGCTTAGAAACACTGATATTACTATTATTGGGTTCAAATACATCTAAAGAATATTTTAATTAATTTGTTTGAGGTATATAAAAATGAATAAATCATCATCTTAAAGATAGTGGTTTCTCAGATATGTTGTTTAAAATTTTATGAATAATAAACTTACTAAAAATGACTAAACTCATGTATACTAAGAAATCCGCGCTGACACTTTAGTCGTTTTTCATTAGTTTTGAAGCAAACAGATTAAAATTATTAATTTAAAATACCTCAGTGTAACCTGGACAGTCCAAGGGGACCACAATATTTTCTCGTTTATGGAGGTCGTCCATTGAGACCGAAATCTTGCTTATAAAGGTTTCTCGGTTATTCAGATTCATATATACTTACACAGTGACATTATCAGAGAGTCGGACAACTTTGAATCCAATACTTGAACTCTCTAGTACCATTTTGTATTTCATTGTCTTGATTGAACCATACACCATAGGGATCTCCGGATACTGGGCTTCAAACCTTGGATTTTCTGCATCAGATATCTGAAATACACATTGATTTTTAATATAAAACTTCAACTACCAAGAAATATTAGTATTTGAGAATAATCCGACTAGTTTGGGTAAATTTCACCTCATAAAAACCATAATGGATATAGTATGTTTAAAACTAGTAAAGAAGACATATGGGCAAACAGACCATATTTTTATTTTATAGGATTGTTAGTCCATAATCCACTATTGTATTCAGTATAAAAGATATTGTTTTGCATGTTAATAAGAAAAGATTATCTTTTCTTACTTATTTAAAATTTAGTTAATTACTTAATATACTAAATTTTACAAAGACTAGTTGTTTGATTAAGTTTTGTTGAGGGAACAAATTTGACATCATCCTGTTTATTTCCCTATAGAGGTTCGGCACAGTAAATTCCTATCTTTTTTTTAATTCAACTCAATTATCATTTGTCATATCTGAATTCATATATATGTAGCCTTTTTCATATAATCTATACATACATTTTCATTCACGTTATATAACATACTATTGTAATATTAAATTAATTATACATACCTTAGCATTGATAATATCGCCAGTTACAAACATGATATCAACACGGACCATACGGAAATCACCCGGGTAGCCGGAGGGGCGATTGAGCGCGTAGTACGCGGTCACACCGCGTTTATTCTCCGTCATGTTGTAGAACTTATATGTGTCGTAGTTAGGCGGATAAAAACAGTATGGCGCGCCTTGTATATTAGTTGACCTCCAACAACAACCTATAAGACGAATGAGAAAGAACTTAGTCTGAAGCTTTTTGCAGTTCGGCTAATTTATATCAAATGGGGTTGATGTTGTTAGTTATGATAGAAAATATATAAAACCCTCCTCCTCCTCTTTCCCTTTCCATCCTTTTGTAATAAGAAAAAGATAGGATGGGGAGGGAGCTTGTTTGCCACCTTATAATGTAAAAAAAAGATAAGTTTGTCAGCCAATAACAATCAAGCTATTGTGTTGCTTTGACTAACCTCTTTTCAAACAAGCCTCTTCGTTCGCACCCGTCTGAGGGTAACAATCGAAGCGCATATTATCTGTCACATTTGAGCACATGTTCCGCAGAATCTCTGGCGTTCTCTCCAAGTACTTGGGAGTCTCCGGTGCCTCAGTGGGTACTTGTATTGGCATGGGCCGCATGAGACGTTGGTACTTCTCATCATCTAAGGGAGTCTTTCTAGAACCTTCGGAACCATTGAACTTGTTCTTTGTGCTCAAGTTGTTGTGATCATGGTAATGAACTTCTGGTACAACCTAAAAGTTTATTTAAAGACTTTAAATTATAAACCGAAATGAAGATTATATTATTTCTTTAGTTAATACTGAATCTCTGTCACTTTGTTACAAGGTTAAATGACAAATTTTACTCACCATTTCATAGTATGTCATAGGTCTCTCAGTGTTTTCAGGGTGGACTCGCTGCCACAATTTTCTGAAGGAAAGAGATAACAGTTATATCCCTTCATAACAATATTTTAGGCAATATATCCCCAGTTGTAATCTCCAACACCCTGTGTAACATTACACAAGTTATCCCTACCTGTATTTATCCTCAGTCCAGGCACCACCTAAAGTCCCCCCAACAACTAGCCACACTGCGACGCAGAGCACGCACATTAGCCCAACACCCAACATCCCGGGGCAGATGTTCTTCAGCTGTTCCCAGGCGCGTTGCAATGTTGTACGCCGCTGTGAGAAACGCTGGTACCTGTAATAATGTATGGAATATTAATATTGGACATTTAGACATACAAGAGGGCCACCCTATAACAGTTGGTGTCCGAATGAGACAATTTCAATCTTTGTTCAATGTGCATACAACAAAGAAGTGGAACAAATTGCTGGCGTCTCTTTAAGTATGACATGGGGACCTTTTAGAATAGAGTGAATAGACACTTAGTAAGGTAACTCATACCATATTTTGACCACATCACAACTTAATAACAGGTAGGATTGTAGACAAGTGCTAGTTTATCCATTATATAAAAAAACCTAGTTTATTAAACTACATACCTTTAAATTCTTAGCCTTCTATAGAAAATAGTATTTGTAATAATGTAAAAAAATATATACACAACAAAATAGCACTACACTCAGCCTACGTAAATATGAAATGAAACAATAATCGCGATATTCGCGAGTTTTATGCCTTTTGCATTCATAAAGATCTGAAATAAACATCATTCAAAGTTCATTCTGCATCGATAAACTCAAGGATAAAGAAAACGTGATTTCAGCTGACCTCAAATAATTGAACTTTGGGCTATTAATAGAATCAATTATACATATTAATCATATCCTGGTTTGTGCGTAAATATTTAATTTTATAGTGATAATGGAACATACTTTATGTTATTTTTAAATAAATGTTATTGACTGTTAATATAAAGACTTTTTATCTATGATGTTTTATGATGGTGTGATGTATGGAAAATTAGAACACTATGCCCTAGTCTTTGATACTTCATGTGCTAATCTAGATGATGTTATTACGATCAATTGAGTCTGAATTTGAGAGAGGCTTATTAAAGGATTTCTTTCAATTCTGTAACATCTGTACACAACATTATCATTTGTGTTTGTTCATCATTTTGTAAGAGAAAGAATTGTGAATCATTTTAATATCGAAACAAAGGAATCAAAACAAAGAGCCATTGTAAACATGTACAAATGTATCAAAATAATCAATGAAGTATGAAAAAAATCATTATTATGGATCAATCAATTTATGAAGCATGATAGACATTTTGGATTACACAGTGTGCCAGATTAGCCCAGGGGCCAGATTACCACAGGTCCACATATTTTACTTTGTCACGATAGTTCGTATATGCTAGAAGATATTAAGTAACATCTTTGGTCTTGGGATTAAGGTAGGTTTTGGATTCTGACTCTGGGTATAACTCATGAGATCTTAACATATTGTTTGATGTGAAATATTTCCTTAGTCCTCACCTTGGTTCCCTCGAAGTATCTCCATCGCTCCTTGGTCTCGGAATTATACCACTGAATAGAGGCGCACGAGATTTTGCGTTGCCCTTACCGAACGGCGCAAAAGGTAACTTGGTGTAAACACCTCCTTTAGGCCCATTGAGTGAGGTTTCTTTTTGTCCCTCTGCCTCTCGATCGAATGCTTCTTCGATGTTTGAACTGCTTCCATCTTTTGGCAATTTGAGACTCTCGTAATATATTCGATAGTTGATATTATCATTTAAAGACAACAGATCGGTTTTCGCATTGGATGGCTTATCACAAAACTCTTCAAACGATACAACTTCATAATCGTCATCCAATTCTCGAGATTTTTCGTTCTTATTTGGTTTCGGCATTTTGCCTTTGTTTTGTACCAATATTTTTATTAATCCATACTAAAAATAGAAGACGGAGAGAATTCGACACAGATAAAAATACTGCACTATCTTTATATTTAATGTCTCACAATTACACAGAAAAACTCAGTTTTGAAAAGCAAATATCAGTTTATTTACAAAGAACAATAACCATTATCATCAAAATTAACCACCACCATCAATAAACAACTACTACGCCGTACGCCGCCAATACACCGAGTCGCAGTCGTTTGTGTGTGTGTGTATTTCGTTCACCGTTCATCGTTCAATGGAAGAGAAAATTTGCGTTTACTCACTATAGATGTCAGCATGATCGAGAGTTTTTTTGTATGTCGACGTTGGAAAATCAGCTCTTAACCAGCTCAAAAGTCCATCTCCCATAAGGTTTTAAGGTTGTAACGTTGAGTATCTGCGTAACAGCTAATGCAGCTCATGCCATGTATTATAACCATGCGAGGTGACCGCGTCATACTGCCCGGTGGCTGCCCACCTGGAAGAGCGAGAATGATAATATGGTTTATCAACAAATTTGTAACTTTGGGTGGACATGGAGTGGAGTCATATGTATTAACCCTAATTCGTGAAACAGTCTTAATAATAATGACAAATTAATAAATTACAGAAGTAAACCTGCCGCTGGCGCCACCTATTTAGAGGTCTGTCAGTTCTATGCCTATTACCAAACATTAAATTTAGTTCAAGTCTCAAAAGGGCTAAAGAAAAAAAACAAAAAAAAAATATTTAATAGCTTCAATATCTAATATAATACAAAATGTAATTTCATGTAGGTGTTAAATGTATAAAACGTTAAATGAATTAGGAATGGTAGTAAGGCTATCACTAACTAAATTTTTTCTAAGTTTCTAAAGTGTTATAAAATATAAAAAGGTTATTTTGGTTTTACATAATGTTCAGGTTCTTAAGTGTATCTGTTATTTACATTGTTTATTTCATCTTTACGCTTACTTTCTAACTTAATTTATTCAATGAGGGTAGATCATAAACTCGCATATATTAAACGAAATAAGATCGTAATTGTCAATAGCGTGGACAGCATGGCGGGCTGTATTTCTGTGAAAGTGAGACATAGCTCATGAAATTGTGTGAATCTGTTGCTTTATGATAATTTGTGTGCAAAATGGATTGGAAAAGTACAAAAATGCTTTTAGCATCAGCTGCTGCTGTAGTAGTCGTTTCTCAAGTGGCGAAAAAAATATGCAAATATATTTTTAATTCAAGCAAACATACAGAAAATGAGGTGGCAAATGACGATACGTGTAGTGAAGTTTTACAGATAAAGAACCGCGAAATTAATGATGTGATTTTATTTTCCGATGACATTGTTCGGCACACTATTAGAATTCCACCCAACAAAGAAATAACAATTTGTGAAAGTAGAGAACTTAATTGTTTTAAGTTGATCAAATATATTAAATCAGCGCGAGAAACTCTCGATGTGTGTATGTATCTAATAACAAGCACCGAAATAACTGAACAAATAATAAGATTAGGTCAAAAACATGTTTTAGTGCGTATTGTTGTAGATAGTGATATGGCATATGCTCCTCCGTCACAAATCAAAAGACTAGAGGAATACAGTAAGTATATAAAATTAGTCTTTTGAGCGTCGCGTATTGTGTGTATATTAAATAGTTTTGTTTCTATTATTTCAGGTTTCATTCAAGTCCAGACGAATAAAAGATCGATATTAATGCACCATAAGTTTTGCATTGTTGATGGCCCTAAAGCAATTAAGCGGAAACTTTTATTAAGAGCACACGCCGAAAAATTGAACGTGCATGGACATTTAAGTAGAAAATTTACAAACCAACTTCCGAAAAGTAAAAATACCAAAGGTTTCGTAATGTCTGGTTCACTTAATTGGTCTACTCAGGCGATGATATCAAATCATGAAAGTGTGATCGTAACATCTCATCCGAATATAGTGGCTAAATTTGAAAAAGAATTTGAAAGTTTATGGGTAGAAAATGAACCTGTAAGTAATATTTCTATTAATGTTTTTTTTGTTTTTATCGCTTTTTGGTTTAATTGTTTTAATAATTTTTTACAGGCTTTAAAATCAACATGACACGCAACAATACGAGCATATTTTGTATTACTAGGTACGTATTATCGTTATAAAAATTATTACTATTCCCAGCATAAAAATCCCGCTTTTATTAATAATCGCTGGAACACGGCACCGAAATGGGTAAACATGATTTTGTAAAACTGGGAAGAACATTTTAATCTGTAACCAGAGACAACTTTAACTTTGGCATTCAAATGTCAAGATTTTTCATTCATTCATTTCTCTCAAAAATGACAGGAGTAGGTCATAGACAAATCCATGTGCACTTCAATTCAATTTCGATCGATCATATGTTTTCTTTGTGTAGTTTTTTCAGCCGCTGTAATTCGAATTGGTTATAATGTAAATCGCTAATGAAATTTCATTAAAGTTCGTACAGTGTCTAAGTGAAATACGGGAACATTCGGGATCATAATCCAAGTTCGGTCAGGAAAAATTGTACGATTTTAAAAAGGTGCACTTCGAGTGCACGTGCTTGCATTTTTCAGATAATTTCATGTCATTTCAGTCATATAAGTGTTTCAAAAGTGAGCCAATATTAAGAGGAACTTGCTTATAACTGTATACTCCAGCTTAAGGACAAAATTTTGTGGTTTTCATCGAAAATCTCGGTTTAAAACAAATGTTAGGTTGAGTTGGAACATCTCTTATTTGGTTATTTTTTGAGACGAAATTTGCGATGCATGCGTTAACCTGGATTAGAGCTTTGAAGGATGAAGTGTTAGTGGTATGTGGTAATTTTTTTATTCACAAATTATTTTAAGGTTACTATAAAAAGTTGTCTGGAAAAGAAGGACATTCCAGAAAGGTCATTTCGATCACGTTATTTTTATTTTCTTTTTGTTGGTAATTCTACTAATTTTAATTTTGTTCAAATAATTAATATGTATTCTTAAACTAGTATGAGAATGTAAAAGTAAAATATTACAATTTAAAACCAAACAGTATTGATATCCTTGACCCTAAATAGTTGTTAAAATTTTTAACTAGAATCAATAGAAAACCTCTATTTGTTCTTAATAAATAATAATGACCAAGATATATTATAAAATACCACAATAAGTTCTGGTAAGTGCAGTGATGGCAAGTAGGTAAGATATAAAAGTTTGCTTAAAACGGTCACCGATGGATTGTAGAAATCAGCTTATAGCTAGTGTGATATTTTGTACTTACTTTTGGTTACTTAATTCACATATGTCAAATAGTTAAATGAACTAAAAGGTGTTTAAAATTTAACATAGCGTATTGTGTGGTAAATTTTGAAATTAAATGATTTCAAGATTAAAAACCTATTTCTTTTTTTATTATAAATGGATTAACCTTGACTTTTGGTTTTACAAATGTTGTAATTTTTTTTCTTAATTTTACTATAAAAGAAAATTTTATGAAGTAATTTTTTTTTCATTGAACATATGGTACATATGTATAGTCACAAAGTATTAATTTTATTATTTATATTGAATAAAAGAATATGTTTCTGTATGCAAGTAAATAATCTGACCCATTTCTGGATGTGTAATAAAACTTGTTTTTTTTGTTTCGTAAAGACTAGAATGGTTTGTTAAAACTTGAAAATGTCCTTGCTTGTGTATGATCATCACTAATTAACATTGTCTGCATTGTTTCAGATGGATGCACGAATGATGCAATGCCAAATGTGCAATTGTGAAACATGTGCAAAATATTGTTCAGTGTATATAAAACATTACAAAATTAAGTGTGCAAACTGTAAATATAAAAGGTGATAATTTAATCACGACAATTGATCAAAGGTATTTGTTTAGTTTTCGACATGTTTGAAAAAGTGCGCTTTGGATGCAGTGTTTTTGTGCTTTTTACTTTTGGAGATGCTGCTGAAAGGAATGCTGATGTCATTCTGCCACACGTCGCTAGATGGCGTTGGTATGTATTTTCTATTAAGAGTTACATTTTAGTTCAGCGCCATCTGTTGTTGAATAGCTTCGTTTAAAGTTTATGTGTTACGGCGCTTGGCCGTCAGATGTCGCCTAATTTTTTTTTTTAATTATGAATTGTTTGTTATTTTGAATTACGAGATGGCGTTGACGATGCATTTATTTGGCCTTGAAAATGATTGTACTCAAATTTAAAAAAAACGCTTTACTTCTAAAAATGACTGTAGTAAACAGAAGTGAATCTGTTGGTATTAAAAGAACAATTGTTAAGTATTACTTTATGATGAATAATCAATCTATAAGGAGGTAAAATTTTATATCGTACATTAAAAAAAAACCTACATGCGGACATGGATCGTTTTAGTTATGATACGCATTAGTGATTCAACGTTGAACTGCCTTGAACTTGAGGCGATGTTACGAAAAAATGTAAAATATTTCCTGTGCTTGTTGGACATTTGAATTCGACAACTATGTGATCGATTAGAATATGCGAGTTGTGACATACGACAGTTTACCTACGCATTAACATTTAAAATATCACATGGAATTTTTTTATATAAATATTAGTATAACTCATAGGTATTTTGTAACATTTTGACTCGTTTAAAGATAAGAATGATGTTCCCTTAACATAATCACATAGCTGATATTCAGACTCTCAATAAACTTTTTATTTCTAACCTCTCACGATCTATTTCTCTCTACTTCTACATGCATAAGCTATAAAGGTTATGGCTACATACTTAGAACCATTAATAAGCAATCAATACGAATTTTAACTAAGTATATTTACATTAGACCTAAAATCCTGTAGTCAGTCGATACTAGAATTTTTAAGAAGTGCGTTGATCCGTGTCGCATTGCGGTTTCTTGTCAATACCCAAATACTTTAACTAGATTAGTTATGTAATATTTTATTTATTTATTTATTGAAATCTTAACTGAAATTTAGGCATTTATGCATTATATAATCTAGACCTCTTTCTTTAAACCAGACGTTATATGCGTCAGTAAATCGTCTAATCATAGATTAACGATTTAAAGAATTCATAATTGTTTCACATCTTTTCAGTTATATATCATAGTAATAAAATCGGTATCAAGAAATGTCTAAAGATTATTTTATTTAGGCCATTAAGTACATTAGGTGGGCGTAACAATAGATATATGCTTCATAAGAAGTAATATATCTTGTCGTATTATCAAGATAACCAAGGATTTATTTCACTTGTAAGGTTTTATTGTAGGAACAAAGATCACAAAAGAACTTTGGTCGGTACTAACAAAAGGATACGTATATAATATTTGCGAATTGCGCAATATGAGTAGTATATTCGTTTGTTTTGCTTTTATAACGTTATAAATCTATTTAATATTGTTACTAAGTTAATAAAGTTTTTTGTAGATATTTGTTTGTTATGAAGTGGCACGTCTAGATAAGCATATTTGTCACGTTTATTTAATATGATTATAATACAATTAGAATAATTTATATACTGCCTGCGTCGGTGGCTCAGGGTGGCTGTTTTTCGATTTACATATGTACATTTTTACGGTCTATCCGACGTTCTTACGGTCCATCCGACGTTCTTACGGTGAAGGAAAACATTGTGATGCAACCTGCACATATCTGAGAAGAAATTCAAAGATATGTGTGAAGTCAACCAACCCGCGTTGGGCCAGCGTGGTTGACTATGGCCTAATCACCCTTAACTTAGGGCAGGCTCCGAGCCCCTCGGTGGGGACGTATAGTGAGCTGATGTTGATAAATACTGCCTATTGTTTAATGTCATATTTCGTTTGTATTTTGCAATGTAGCTTCTTTAGTTAGGTAGTGTAGGTTTTAGTGTGTGATGAATTATAATTCCCTGAAAAAACAATACATTTTGGTTATGTTTTATTTGAGTTTCAAAAGAAATTTTTATGCAAACAATTTTCATGTAAAGTACGTATACTTATACTTGCTATGTAAAAGATTAAACAATACAACTCATTTTATATTAAAAGTAGGACAATTGACAAAAGCCATGACAAGTATAAATTATGACTGATTACAACATTTCTGTGTTAATGTTGTGAAATAGTTCCCTTATGTTGAAAGGCTTTTTCACTCTTCGATACTAGATGGCGTTAGTGGTAGAATTTTTACACATGTCTGCTTTGACGAGATATTTTCTTACTTCAGTGGCAGTTAAATAAAGATAAATCGTTAAGTTATATTATTTATAAAGTAATATAAATGTATAATATATTTCCGAGCCTTATACAAATGTTTTTTCTTGTTTTTTTACAACGATTTATCATTTTTCTTGTTGCAAAAACCTATTATTATGTATGGTCTAGTCTGCGATGTTTATTATCAATAATTTACAATAAATAGTTACGCAGCGATCATTAGGTGCACATAATTACGGTGGCGCCTTGTCCACGGCTCGGATTACCAAGGTCGTTTTTAATGAGTGTCTCAATACGAGAATAACGTAAGGTTCTTTTCTTGAGTTCACCTTTATTTTTTCTATAAACTAAGCGTTGGTATAAACTTAACTAGCGGTGGCCTGCGACTCCGTCAGTGCTGAATTAAAAGTAAAACATAATTAGTAGCCCATGTACTCCAGTCTATGTACTATATGTATGCCAAATTTAATCAAGATCCGTTCAACCTTTCTGGAGATATCTTCAAACAAACATCCATCCATCTAAACATTCGCATTTATAATATTAGAAAGAAGTAACATAATAGTAAGATTAAGCTTAACTTTTTTTTGGATTGTTTTCTGGGAAATCCAGCTTTAGATTTTAAAACTGATGAACTGATTTTAATGTTTAAATTAATATCTTTACGACTACGACTTTTGTTTTTATAAAAATATCTAGTTTTGTTTCGCATCTAGAAAATAATTTTACAGCTGTTTTCGCTTCAGTCGAGCACTGTGTCCCTCATTGGTTACTCAAAGTAATATAACAATAGTTACTAGGTAATATAAAATAGGCATTGCAATGCATTAAACAACGGTCAAAGAAGTTCCCCTCATAGCACCGTTTGAAAAGGTCTTTTGCGCAATCATTATCGAATGACTTAAGAAAAAAAAATTGTAAAAACGAAGAGGGGAAACTAGAAACAATATGGTAAAGGCCATGAATATTAAAAGGGAGAAAGAATTCTTAGAAGGTGTCAAACCGTCCATCCATTAACTGCAGTATATCCCAGCTTGTGCACTCTGCATACAAACTGCGCATTAGGAACGATTTGATTTACAAAAAGTTGGTTTTTCCACACTGTCAGGTCTATAACGCTTAGTGCACACTGTTATATTTGCTGTAGTTTAATTTGTAAAGAAATTTTACATGATTGATTTTTTTTATTTATAGATTGTTGTTCGTATGGATGTTTTAACTAAAAATAATACAAAAACGTAATTTTATAACATAATGAGATTGTATAGCTAACTTTTTTAAGTTTTTAATTTTGTTTTTAAAAGAAATTAGAACGCAGTATTTGATGTATTCATATTATAATAACTTATAATAGTGTGATATATCACTTCTTACTCTTATTAATTATAAATGTTTGGATGAACATTTAAAGGTATCTCCAGAATGGCTGTATGAATCTCCCTGAAATTTGACTTTAATATAGAACATTTCTTAGGATGGAGTCGCGGGCGACAAATTGTTAATCAATAAAATATCAAAAGCGCTTGTCTTTAATAATATAAACAAATGTTAAGTGATCTCACTGTATCCAGTTTTAACCCTTTAACGCCAGTGAGTCACGATGTTTAGCATATAATAATGTTCTTTTTATATTTACAAACAAAGCGACGTAAGGGTTAACAGCACCGGACGCGGCGGACGCGTATGGAAATAAAGTTACGAAAGGAAGTAGGGAAATAAAGGAGCAACTTACAATGGAATCGATATTAAAACGATTAGGATCGATTAAAGCCATTGACTCGATTCAGGGTCAATAAAAATTGTCCTAATCGAATGAATCGGCGCCACATTGTTTTGGCATCGAGTGGAGTAATTACATTTAATTACTCATTTGGGCAATTGACAATCTTTAAAAAGGCAACTTTGATTCGCTTTTATAATATACATATACACTAGCTGTCGCCGGCAATTTCATCCGGGCTGAATTCAAAATAATTTTATAAGTAGCCTAAATATCTTCCAGACTATGCTCTATATGAATGCCAAATTTTGGCAAAAACCCTATAGTCGTTCTGGAGATACCTCCCACATATATCCTACCATCTAAACTTTCGCATTTATAATATTATTAAGATTTGTTTCTGGTATTTTCAAACTAACAACCTAGCTTACATTCTTCACGAATCAGAAAGGTTTTTAATCTGTCTTTCGTCTTTAATAGACTATAAGGAGTAATTAAATAGTGGTTTAGTAATAAATGTGACGTATGACCAATGTGTTTGTTAAGTTTAAGAGATATTATTTACTTAATAAGTTTATTGTGAGTTCCAACCATCCGATATAGTAGAATTTAATGTAGCGCCCTTATATTTGTGAGTCTCATATATATTCACTTATTGCTATAATTTACGAGCAATTTGTAAAAGTGGCCGAGTTTATGACGCTCTCAAAGGAAACGTACATAATACACCCCCTCCACCCGAACTCCCTTCAGGCGCTGCATAGCAACAGCGTTACATTGCTCCGGGATCATCATTGCTCAATAGATAAATAATTCAATTTCTTTTCTATAAAAGTACCGTCACCTGCGTTTACTTTGAAAAGAAAAAAAAACAACCCAAGAATATTTGGCGTCTCGTTACTCAATGTCTTGTACTATTATATTTTCGGGACGCTATTGTTGGTTGTTATATCGCCGCGGGTCACCTACTTATGTGTTCTCCAATTAAAGCCTTATTCATAGATGCATAGATATGTTTTTACAACCGCCCGATGTGTAGCTTGTATCGTTTTGTGAGTGCGCACGTCAGACCAGGTGTGTCGATCGGATCC